GAAAGAAAGAAAGAAAGAAAGAAAGAAAGAAAGAAAGAAAGAAAGAATAAATATGGTATTCATTTGTATATTTTCAGTTGGAACCTCTTTCTACTTAAACCAGGGGTCCCCAAAGTTGCCTTTAAGACTTGTGGACTTCAACTCCCAGAATTCTCCAGTCAGCTATGATGGCTGGAGAATTCTGGGAGTTGAAGTAGTCTTAAAGTTGCCAAGTTTGAAGACCTCTGACTTAAACCTTAGTACAACACCCAGATATTTAATGCCATTAAACATCTTGGATTAATCTTGAAACTTTTTGCATACTTGTACTTATACAGAAAGAATTTTATTTTAACACAATATGGCTTCAATTCCAAAGCTACTTTTTATGAAAACCAAGTCAAGAAAAGGAGATTGGAAACAAACCAAAGCTTAACCTTCTCATTCTTTCTAACCCTTTCTAAATGGCAAGTAGAAGTGAGTCTTTCTACTTGCCATTTTATTACCAAGAATTTACCACCATCTTCAAATTAAAGAGTTGCCTTCCAATAACAAAAAACACAAATTTGCAAACTGCCTGAATATTAACACAGCACATAATTTTGTATGTTAAACGAACCATAAAGTGGAAGAGGGAAAATATTTGTGAGAAATATTTACTATGTTTTTTGCTTGTCAAACTTAAAAGGTCATTGGACACTCCATAAAGGTTGTGACAACAATAGAAATAATCAAGCAGCAGCTAGTCAAACTGCTGAATAGTCTGAATTATGCTTTGGAAATTGTGTAACGTATGCTCTGAAATTGAGCAAATGAATGAGACCTAAAGGTAAGCTGTTCTCTACAAAATCCATTCTGAACTTACCACAGTAGGCCTGGCATGAAAAAGACAGCAACTTACTAGTTTTGAAGAGGACATGGAAGAAAGAAAGAAGATTGGCCCCAACAGTTTTAGGAGGCTGCATAGTTTTGATTACCCAGAACATTCCCAAGGCAGTAATCAATACCATGTTCTTTTTGCTAAACACTGAATCCAGGCATACTGTAAGGCTGGATGCTCCCAGGAAGCTGAAGAAAGACCTCCTAGGCCCAAAACAGGGCTTAGCAAGCCTCCCTGGAGCCTCTTGGGAGCAGAAACGGGGTATGGGGGGTGTGATGCTGGACTCCCCCCAACTCCCCGTATTTTCTCCCAGGAGGCTACCCTATACTTACCTGGTAGCCCAACGAGCCTCTTGGGGACTTCTGGGAGGGGCTGGGCAGGGTTTCTAATGGGGCCCACCCCCCCAACAGCTGCCAGGCAAACAGAGAAAAGCAGGATTCAACCTATACAAGCCTCTCCACATGTTCCTTGGGGGAAAGCAAGTGGTAGGAGAAAGGCGACCGGCTGTGGCAGCAAAAGGCAGGGGGGGGGGGGGGGGGGAGGCGACCAGGTCTTCAGAGCTTCACTCACCTAGGAAGATCAGTAAAGGCATAGCAGTAAAGGGCCATAGCAGGCAGTAATGGCTGGCCTGGCAGGCAAAAACAAGCTGCAGGCATGTCACGCATGCACACAATGTTCCACATGTGCAATAGCAGGCATGATATTCTTCCGATTAAAATCGGAATTCTGATTTTTTTGGAAATCGCCCCCTCCTTTCCCCCCCACCCCTTCTTCTCCTCCTTCCTCTCCCCTCGGAGGCCCCGAGTCAGGAGTTGCTGGCGCGGCTCCGCGCGGCTCCAGTCCCGTGTTGCCTCAGGAAGGGAAAGGCAAAAAGGAAGAGCCGCGGCGGCGCTTTGCAACGGCAGCAGCAGCTCCTGGTTTTGCCTTTCCCTTCCCGAGGCAACGCGGGACTGGAGCCGCGTGGAGCTGCGCTGGCGGTAGCAACTCCTGACAGCCCCAGCCGGATACCTGAGCGGAGCCCGAGCAGTGCGAGCGGAGGCCGCTGAGCGGCAGGAAAAGGGAGCTGGGCCAGCCACAGACCAGCCTCCGTGCAACACGCCGCCGCCCAGTCCCAGCGAGGGAAAGCAGCGGGCGCTCCCCGGGCGGGGGGGGGTCTCTTTTGTCCGGCCCCGATTTTTTTCCCAGAGCGGAATATCATGCCTGAATAGAGACTGACTGGGCAGGGAGCGGAGAAGTGGGCAGAGAGTGGCGGGGCCAGCCAGGGGGCCATTTTACCAGTTCTCCGAACTACTTCTATAGAACTGGACAGAACCGGTAGAATCCCACCCCTGCTTAAATGCGATTGAAGCAAAGCAAGAGCAAATGTGAAAGAAGAGGTCAGAAAAGGGGGGGAGAAAGTTAAAGAGATGGGGAATAAAAATTGAGCAGCCCCCAGATTTTCTGTAGACACTCATTTTAGAACAACTGAAAGTAAAACAGACACCAGTGTCTATGGAAAAGAAATTTGGGGGGGAATACAAACCAAAAGAGATGCGAATTCAGCACCAGTTTGAGCAAATGTTCTACAATTCTCTTTTTTCTCACTCCTTCACTTAACGACTGGATTGTACACTGCTCAAAAAAATAAAGGGAACACAAAAATAAGACATCCTAGATCTGAATGAATGAAATATTCTTATTAAATACTTTGTTCATTACATTGTTGAATGTGCTGACAACAAACTCACACAAAAATTATCAATGGAAATCAAATTTAGCAACCCATGGAGGTCTGGATTTGGAGTTACACTCAAAATTAAAGTGGAAAAAAACACTACAGGCTGACCCAACTCCTTAAAACAAGTCAGAATGAGGCTCAGTAGTGTGGCCTCCATGTGCCTGTATGACCTCCCTACAACACCTGGACATGCTCCTGATGAGTGGATGGTCTCCTGAGGGATCTCCTCCCACACCTGGATTAAAGCATCCCCCAACCCCTGGACAGTCTGTGGTGCAATGTGGTATTGGTAGATGGAGCGAGACATGATGTCCCAGATGTGCTCAATTGGCTTCAGGTCTGGGGAACGGGCGGGCCAGTCCATAGCATCAATGCCTTCGTCTTTCAGGAACTGCTGACACACTCCAGCCACATCAGGTCTAGCATTGTCTTGCATTAGGAGGAACCCAGGGCCAACCGCACCAGCATATAGTCTCACAAGGGGTCTGAGGATCTCATCTCGGTACCTAATGGCAGTCAGGCTACCTCTGGCAAGCACATGGAGGGCTGTGCGGCCCCCCTAAAGAAATGCCACCCCATTACTGACCCACTACCTAACCAGTCATGCTGGAGGATGTTGCAGGCAGCAGAAGGTTCTCCACGGCGTCTCCAGACCCTGTCATGTCTGTCATATGTGCTCAGTGTGAACCTGCTTTCATCTGTGAAGAGCACAGGGCGCCAATGGCAAATTTGCCAATCTTGGTGTTCTCTGGCAAATGCCAAACGTCCTGCACAGTGTTGGGCTGTAAGCATAACCCCCACCTGTGGACATCGGGCCCTCATACCACCCTCACAGAGTCTGTTTCTGACCGTTTGAGCAGCCACATGCACATTTGTGGCCCGCTGAAGGTCATTTTGCAGGGCTCTGGCAGTGCTCCTCCTGTCCCTCCTTGCACAAAGGCGGAGGTAACGGTCCTGATGCTGGGTTGTTGCCCTCCTACGGCCTTCCCCACGTCTCCTGATGTACTGGCCTGTCCCCTGGTACCGCCTCCATGCTCTGGACACTATGCTGACAGACACAGCAAACCTTCTTGCAACAGCTCGCATTGATGTGCTATCCTGGATGAACTGTCCTACCTGAGCCACTTGTGTGGGTTGTAGACTTCGTCTCATGCTACCACTAGAGTGAAAGCACCACCAGCATTCAAAAGTGACCAAACCATCAGCCAGAAAGCATAGGAACTGAGAAGTGGTCTGTGGTCACCACCTGCAGAACCACTCCTTTATTGGGGATGTCTTGCTAACTGCCTATTCTTTCCACCTGTTGTCTATTCCATTTGCACAACAGCATGTGAAATGGATTGTCAATCAGTGTCGCTACCTAAGTGGACGGTTTTATTTCACAGAAATGTGATTGACTTGGAGTTACATTGTGTTCTTTAAGTGTTCCTTTTATTATTTTTAGCAGCGTGTTTCTACAAATCGGTCCGACCTCTCTAAATTACTGAAAACGGTACGAGGAGAAGGAACTGACGTAGCCTAAAAATCTGGGCATCCCTGCCCTTTCTCTCTTCTCATTCACTTTGTGCGTGGTAGGCAATGGTCGCAGCGGCCTGGTTTTGGGATCTTTGCACTCTGCCATTCACCACAAGAAGTAGAGGAGTATCTACGCGGAGGCTAGAAAAAGTAAAACTCTGAAAAGCAGGAAGAAAAAAAAGAATGATAGTGAAAAATTTTAGGTAATGTGAGATTTTTTTAAAAAAACCATCAGTGTAAGTATCATACTTATTTGTTACATTTATTTGTTGCCTATCTCTCTACTCTAGAAAGCTTAAGTAATAAAAGGTAGAAAAACAAGAAAGCTTGTAAACAGAACTACAAGTATTCCTCAACTTACGACCAAAATTCAACCCAACATTTCCATAGTTAAAGATACGATCATCATCATTATCTTTTTTTAATGACCCCATAATCCCTTGCAGGGTGGAGTGTGGGCAACTGAATGGACCAGAGTGTTTACTGGCCGGATGCCCTTCCTGTTGCCAATGCAGAATTTTATTCAGCAGATAAATTCTCATTGTGCCCAGAGAAAAATATCTGCCTCTACCTAGGATCGAACTCACAGCCTCCTGATTGTAAGCCACCACACCACTCTCGGGTAAATATAAGATAAAGATAAGATAACCTTTATTGTCATTTTTTTACCATGGGCACATCGGCACACATTAAAAATGAAATCCTGTTGCTTTCTTTCAAAAGTTTATACATACGTACACATATAAACATGCTGTATACAAACATATTATATGTGTAGTGTCTCTCTTTTGAGCCAGCCTACTCGCATTTTACAACTTTTCTTGCACAGTGAATCATTGCAGTTGTTAAATTAGTAATCCAATTGTTAAGTGACTCTGACTTTGCTTGCTTAGATCTAGCAATATCTCAGGGGTTGCCACAAAGAAGAAAGGGTCAACTTATTCTCCAAAGCACCTGAAGGCAGGACAAGAAGAAATGGATGGAAACTAATCAAGGAGAGAAGCAACCTAGAACTAAGGAGGAATTTCCTGACAGTCAGAACAATTAATCATGGAAGAATTTGCCTCCAGAAGTTGTGAATGCTCCAACACTGGAAGTTGGACCAGAAGACCTCCAATGTCCTTTCCAACTCTATTATTTTGTACCAATAAAGGAGAATATTTGTAGCTCAAGGTTGAAATGAGGGATCCTTGGTGCTCTGAGCTTGCTTGTTTTCTTGCAGACGTTTCATTACCCTAACTAGATAACATCATCAGTGCTCAATAGCCCTGATGATTTTACTAGTTAGGGTAATGAACCGTTTGCAAGAAAACAAGCAAGCTCAGAGAGCACCAAGGACCCCCCCTCTGTTATTCTGTTATGTTATTCTGTGAGAAGATTGCAGAAGGTGATCACATGACCCCAGGACATTGCGGCCTTCATAAGTATGAATCAATTGCCAAGACTTTGAATTTTGATCACGTGATTGTGGGAATGCTGCAACGGTTGTAAGTTTGAAAAACAGTCATAAGTCATTTCTTTCAGTGCCGTTGTAACTTTGGATGGCTATTAAATGAACTGTTGTAAATCGAATTTACTAGTTATAAAACAATAAAGCAAACAATGACCAGGGAACAATCCTAGTTGTCTTAGAAAGATAATACTTCCCCTTGAAACATTTTTCTCCCCAAGTAACAGACAAGAGAATCATCAGAAAAACTTAACTGATACAAAGTGATGAAGAAAATGAAAGCTCACATACCTTGGTCTTTCTGTCTCCATTTTCAAGTGAATATTTCTAATACTTTTAGATTGAAATACAAGTATTCCTCAAACTTACAACCCTCCATTTAGTGACTATTCAAAGTTACAATGGCACTGGGGGGAAAAATGACTAGTGACCAGTCCTTGCATTTAGAATCTTTGCAACATCCCCCAATGGTCACGTGATCAAAATTCAGGTGCTTTGGCAGCCAGTGTGCATTTTTAGTACAGCTGCAAGATCCCAGGATCATGTGCTCACCATTTGCAATCTCCCCAGCTAGCTTCCGACAAGTATAGTCAATGGAGCAACCTGGATTCACTAAACAGATGTATGATTCACTTAACTGTAGTTATTCATTTAATGACTATGGTACAAAAAAAAAACTGTCGTAAAATCAGGCGCAGCTCATATAACAACTGCCTGGCTTAGGATCAGAAATTCTGGCCCTAATTGTCGGCATAAATTGAGGACAGTCTGTAATTCCACGTTGCCCATTGTAAGTTTTGGATTATTTGTGGAAGGCTCCGATTAAGTTTGAACATTATTCCCGGCATGACATAGGACAGACAAAAGGTGAATTGGGAATCGACTCACTTTGTTCTGGTGTTGGATGTGATGGTGTCGAAGATGAGGTTCAGGGATGGCCACCGAGTCCCCAATTAGGACACCCCAGCTTTGGACCATGTTGTAAACAGTGACAGCAAAACAAGGGCCTTCGATAGAGTCCACCAATCCAAAGGTGCTGTTGGAGAGCAGAAAGTGAAAAAATTGAAATAAATTAATTATTGTGCAATTTAAGTCAGATGTATTCAATACAGATCTAGTATGGGGTGTATGCTGTGCATTCAAAAGGTTACTGAGTCATAAATCTGAAGTTAATTGTCTATTTTATGCATAAAATCAATCAGTGGCTTCCAGTAAGCAATAAACATAGATACTGCCTTTTCTCTGATCAAAATTGTGACCAACCTAGACCAAACCAAGTCCAAAAGCTCTAGGGAATTTCTAAAGCCTGGCACTCTGACAAATTAGCCATCAATAAAAACGTAGACATAAACAATATCCAGAAGAGACAATCAAAAAGCCAAAAAGAAAGAACCAAAAGACCAAAACACCTCTCGATCAGCAATCAACATCCAGATGAGCATTAAATTAATGCCAATATTAACTTCAGACCAACAATCAAGGAGTAAACAATTCCCCAATGAAGGAACTGCCAAACCAGCTAACAATAAATCAAAAGAATTTCTAAGACCAGTCCAGTGGCAAACCATTAGAATATAAACTGAGAGTAAACCCCACTCCTTATTGTTACTGATGTTACTTTATATAGGTAATGAAACATCTGCAAGAAAACAACTAAGGACCCCTCATAGAAATCAATTTAGCCATCTCAGTAAGATCTATCATCTTCACCAACCATCCTTCCATTGAGGATAGTCCAAATCTTTCTATTTTTGTACTATACACAAATATATTATGCAATAATCTTGCTACAGTTGTCATACAGAAAAACAAAACCCCACAACATTTTTTGCAACTGTCTGCCCATCAATCCCAAAAGAAAAAACAACAATTCTGGGCTCAACTTGTATATTAATCTTTAAAATATTCTGAATTGCTGGAAGCTGCGGCTGCCATCTTCAGAAGGAAAGTGGTCTTTGTCTAGGGCAGGGGTGTCCAACCTTGGCAACTTTAAGACTTGTGGACTTCAACTCCCAGAATTCCTCAGCCAGAAAAATCCACAAGTTTTAAAGTTGCCAAGGTTGGACACCCCTGGTCTAGAGTCTGTGTAACATCGCCTCCTTTAGATGCCAGCCACGATTCCTAGTGAGCAATTATGGCAACTTTATGACCTGTGGACTTCAACTCCCAGAATTCTTGAGCCATCATGACTGGCTCGGGAATTCTGGGAGTTAGAAGTCCACAGGTCAATGTTGGCTCAGGAATTCTGGGAGTTGAAGTCCACATGTCATAAAGTCACATGTCATAAGGCCACAGTTGCTCATTTTTGCTCTAGACCAGGCCTGTGGGTCAGATGCGTCATGCACTGGCCATGCCCACACGTGGTTTAGCTAAGGGGGAAGTTGAAATACGTTGCGTGATGACGCCATGACAATGCGAGTTTTGATACCCCTGCTCTAGACCAAGGCCATTAAACCCCAAAGTTCAACCCTGCCCAATAAACACAGGCTGTGAAAACCAACACCAGACGTTGATGGTATCAGGGCAAACAAGGTTCAGAACACAATTCTATACTCACAAAGGCACTTTTTCTTCAGTAGTCAGGCTGAACAACACCTTCCCCAAGATCACAGTACCCGTGTTAACACCAGGCTGCAAGGCACTGAGGGATCGTCTCTGTAGTTCTACCTTCTGACCTGAAGGCCCTTGATAATGTCCGTCACCACACGGGCCCAGGTGGGAGCTTTGCAGACTTCCCAACATGTTTTGCAGCTTCTTGCCTTTCACCTTGCCCTAGAAGAAGAAAGAAGCAGAAACAAGACTTGTTGGCAGATGTGACATTACCTAATATGGACAGAGGACCAAAAAGACCTGCAGTAATAAATCAGCTTCAACAGTTTCGGTGCATGCCAGGCCTCACGTAGGCTGAAAACATGTACCAGGAACAAAGAACATCAATCAGCAACACGTCACCATGGGGTACTAACTGAACTGCAGGCGCTGATTTGCTATTTTGTACCTTCTAAACTGACCATCTAACACTGTGATTTGATGCTACTATGTGTCCACTAACATTCCTACTCATGTAACATGATGATTGGATAGAATTCACCGCTTGTGACGTATCACTATGTATTTTTAATAAAAGAGCTTCCCGAGCTCGTGATCGGGGTAGCTCACCCGAGATAGAACCAGCCTGGTGTCTTTCTTGATGCATTCGACCACCCAGTGGAAAGCCTTCCAAATGCGGAGCAAAGCCGCATCTGGTGACCCCGACGTGATCCGTTAAAAGAAACGAGTGCGTCTATCTTCAACCGCCTATCTCACCCGGCCGGACGAGCCAGTTGCAACCCAGGAACGCCGTCTCGTGTCACGGATCCCTCCCCAGGAATCTTCCGCAAAGAAGACATCCTCCCTTCAGGTGAGTATGGGCGGAAAGTTCTCCAAAGCGCAGATAGCACATTTGCAAGAATTAGGAGAATTAACGAAGAGCTCAATTCTTATTCTTAGGAATCAGGGCAAAACGCTCCCGGTTCCAACAAAGAAGAACCTTATTACCCTTTTGACTTACATTTACACACAATGTCCGGCTTATCCGGATAAAGGGTCCTTGAAAGTCTCCACATGGCAATGTTTGGGTGACTATTTTCATAATAATCCCAGGGCTCCGCCAAAGATTCTGACCACATGGCGAATAGTCATGGAATGTTTAAAAATCCATAGTTTAGCATTGACCAAGGCCCCCTCCCCAAAGGAGGGTCCTCCTCCTTATACAGCTGAAACCAAGACTAAGGACGCTCTCCCGTTAGAAGCTTCCTCCCCCACTGCTCCTGAACCCATGAGTCCTCCTCACTCAAATCCAGCGGAGGATCAGACACCCATGGGAGCGATCGCGCAAGCCATGGCGCAGGGACGCAGGGAGGGCTCTCTTACCCTGGAGGAGCTCTCTCTCTGTCCTGTTGAATATATAGGGGATGGAACCGAAAATATGGTGCCTGGACTTGAACCTTTACCCATGAAATTAATCAGAGATTTAAAACAAGCCGTGGCCATGTACGGCATCCAGGCACCATATGTCAGAGGCTTCATGTACACCATCAGCACCTCCTTTTTTATGCTACCCCAAGATTGGAAAGACCTTTTCCGTATGGTACTGACGGGACCGCAGTATGTTGTTTGGGAGTCAGACTTTCGCGCCGAAGCTGAAAGATTTGCCCGCGATCGTGGCGCGGCCGCGAGAGCGGATCAAATTTTTGGTACGGGCCGATTTACGGACTTAACAGCTCAGATGGCTCTCCCACAGCGTACTCTTGCCCTTATCAGTATCATAGCGGTCAAAGCCCTTGACAAAGTCGATGATCCTACCTCTGGCATCGTAGGATCTTTTTCAAAAATCACTCAAGGCTCACATCAGCCTTATGCTGAATTCATAGAGGAACTTCAGAAGGCCATTCAGAGACAAATCTCGAATGAAGAAGCCCGTAAAGAGCTTCTGTTGAAACTGGCCATTGAAAATGCAAATGAAGATTGCAAGAGGATTCTGCAGCCTCTATCTGCCCGAGGGGGGGCTTCCCTCTCGGACTATCTAAAGGCTTGCAGAATCGTGGGAACTGTCTCCTACAATATGGAGCATCTGGCCATGGCCTTGCAGCAAGCAGGTTCTCAAAACAGGCCGGCCGGAAACTGCTTCAATTGTGGGAAGCCAGGCCACTTCAAAGCACAATGTAGAGCCAGGGACAATACACAAAACAACACCAAGCCTAAAACGATATGCCCAAGGTGCAAGAAAGGGTACCACTGGGCAAACCAGTGTCGCAGCAACATTCCTCAGCCGCAAGGAAACTAGAAGAGGGACGATCAGCCAGCCCCGCTCCAAAGGCTGACTCCATGTCTTTTCAACTAATTGCCTCCGAAGATATGGAAATCGACATTCCAGGCACTGTATACTTTCTTCCCACACGCCTGAAAACAATCCCTCCTGCCATAACACCCCTCATAATTTATCCCATCCGGGACCTCATGGCAAAGGGATTCATTGCATCTCTGTTTCTGAGAGATTCCGATGACTTTTCCTCAGTGGCCATGGCGGTAATTGGAAATACTCCCACCAAATTTAGCAAGGGAGAACTAGTAGCAACCGCTGTTCCGGTACCTGTTAAAACAGCTGATGCTTGGGCATTTACTGTCCATCAAACGGTGGAACAAGCCAGGCCTGTGTTACAATTCACAATCCGTGACAAAGTCTTTTCGGGTCTCTTAGATACTGGAGCTGACGTAAGTGTCATCCGAACGGCTGAGTGGCCAGACGATTGGCCTTTGGAAACTGCCCCAGCCGTTCGGGGAGTGGGAGGAGTTCAGCACGCCCACCGTAGCAAACACTGGCTACCGGTGAGTTCCTCTGATATTTCTCGCACTGCCTATCTCCAACCCTTGGTTCTTCCGCTACATACTAACCTGTGGGGCCATGATCTTATGTCTCAACTTAACGCAAAACTCATTATCGATTAATGGAATCTTTTGCTAGAACTCCACTGCAGCTACAATTAAAAACCACAGAACCTGTTTGGGTAGATCAATGGCCCCTCACAATAGACAAACTAGAGGCCCTGCAATCACTTGTCCAGGACCAAATTGTCAAAGGGCATGCTGAACCATCTGTCAGCCCATATAACACCTCCATTTTTGTCATAAAGAAAATGTCAGGGAAATGGAGGCTCTTACATGATTTAAGAGCCGTGAACACAATAATAAAACCTATGGGGGCGCTACAATGTGGTCTTTCAAATCCCAACATCATCCCTGAAAAATTTGATCTCATGGTCATTGATTTAAAGGACTGCTTCTTTTCTATCCCCTTGCATGTACAAGATCGCGCCTTATTCGCTTTTACACTACCTCGTTTAAACAACTCCTCTCCCTCCTCCTGCTTTCAGTGGAAAGTTCTACCCCAAGGTATGCTCAATAGCCCCACCATGTGTCAACACTATGTCAATAATGTCCTGCTACCCTATCGTTTCTGCCTTTCCACAATTTCTGGTGTATCACTACATGGACGATATCCTTGTTGCCGCTCCTGGTCCACCGGGTACGGTGTTCACTTCATTTTCCTTCCTGAAAGCCATTCTTGCAAAAGGAGGTTTGCATATAGCACCTGAAAAGGTACAAGTACTAGCTCCGTATGCATATCTGGGCTATAAAATGCTTTCAACTACTGCCTATCCTTCACTCCCCTCTCTGTCTCTACCTTCTCAACCCACCTTGGTTCAACTTCAGCAATATCTGGGTACCGTAAACTGGGCTCGACCTTTCCTGTCTTTAACCACTGATATTCTTTCTCCATTGTTTGAAGCCCTTACCTGGGGGAAAAAGCCTGCTGACATAATATCCTTGCAGCAACCTCAGCTTCAAGCAATAACTCAAATAGAAGAGAATATCCGAAAAATATGGGTAGACAGAGCTGCTGCCAATACTCCTCTAGATATGGTCATTTTAGCCACCCCGAGGCTTATGACCGTAGCAGTAACTCAAAAGGACCAAAAACTCCACATCATAGAGTGGATCCATCTTTCCCATACGCCACGATGCTCCATCACTTCCAAATCAGCTCAATTGGCTCAATTGATCATAAAAGGCAGGAACCGTGCAAAATTACTTATGGGAATAGATATCTCCACACTTTTCATCCCTTTTTCGCTACAAATATGGGAATCTCTATTCCAAAACTCCCAGGAAATTCAGTTTGCCTTAGCCGACTGGCCTGAACTAGGTTCCTGCCACCCGCCCGCTGATCCACGTTTTCAAATCATTCGGACAATACCCATCTCTTTCTCCTCTCCCATCAGCAAAGAACCTTTGGTCAATGCTTTGACTATATTTGCTGATGGCAGTAGGGAACGAGGGGCATGCGCTTGGCAAAGAAATGGGGTGTGGCACACTAAAACCACCCCTGTGCAGACATCCCCACAAAGGGCTGAGCTTTCTGCAACCATATTAGTCCTCCAGAATTTTAACGAACCCCTCAACTTGATCTTAGACAGCCTATATGTTACCCAAATAGTCTCTACTATTCACGATTCTTACCTCTCTCCCGCTATTGATAAAAACTTTCTCTCTCTTTTTTTTACATTGCAACACCTTGTTGCACAACGTCAGCACCCCCTCTTTGTAGCACACATTCGCAGCCACCAACCCTTCCCGGGAATCCTCCAGGAAGGCAATGATGTGGCTGATCAAGCGGCTGCAGGTATCATGACCTCACACACACTAACTCCTTGGAAGAGCCATTCATACTTCCATCAAAACACTAAAGCTCTCATGAAACATTTCAACCTTACTATGGCTGAAGCTTCAGCCATTAGACAGCAGTGCCCCACCTGCAGTCAACAAGCCCATTCCATTCCCTTAGGGGTAAATCCCCGCGGGTTGAAAGCCTGTGAAATATGGCAGATGGACGTTACTCAGTTTCCTCCGTTTGCCCCCTGGAAGTATCTGCATGTCACAATTGATACTTATTCAGGGTTTATAATGGCGACCCCGCAAAGAGGAGAAGCCTTAAAACATGTCATCAACCATTGCATTCGCACTTTTGCATCGTTTTGACGCCCAAATGAAATAAAAACAGATAATGGTCCTGCATACACTAGCACAGCTATGTCAGAATTTTGCACTAAGTGGCAAATTACCCACAAATTTGGGATTCCTTATAACAGTCAAGGACAAGCCCTGGTAGAGAGAGCTAACCTAACGCTAAAAACAGCGTTGGAACGACATTTGATCAAAGGAAAAAAAAACCT